GTCGTATGGAATAGCTGGTCGCGCTCTCCAGTGGGTGTCAGCTTTTCTGGATGGACGGGAACAGTGTATTCGTGTGGGAAGCAGTCTTTCGTTTCGACAAGCTGTACTTAGCGGCGTTCCGCAAGGCTCTGTCCTAGGTCCGCTGCTTTTTCTGTCTACGTGAATGACTTGCCGGAGGAGCTTGAGGTACCATCGCTCTTATTTGCTGATGACCTAAAGCTCTGGAATATTGTTGATATCCCTGGAGGTCCTGTGGCTCTTCAACGGGCTCTGGATAGACTCTGGGAATGGTCTGTCTTGTGGTTGCTGCCCATAAACCGGGCAAAGTGTTCAGTGCTGCGTATCGGAGCGTCTGCTTCCTCCACAAGTTATGTGCTCGATGGGAGTGAACTTCCTCACGTGACTCATCAGGTTGATCTAGGTGTCGTCCACTGTTCCACACTACACTCTGGCGACAACTGGAAGAAGGCGGCTAGTAAAGGGTTCCGGATGTTGTGGTTTATCCGTCGTTCTTTTGGGACCCTAACCGCTGATGTGTTTGTGAAGCTTTTCTCAGCGTTTGTGCGACCCCACCTAGAATATTGCGTCCAGGCCTGTCCACCATGCCTTGTCCGGGACAAAATGGCACTAGAAAGGGTGTTGCGTGTCGGTACTAGGTTGGTCAAGGGATTACGAGGGCAAACGTACCCCGAACGCCTACTTAGTTTGGGGATGCAGTCAATGCACTATCGAAGGATTAGAGGGGACCTAATCCTAACCTACCGTATTTTGACTGGGAAGCTTGGCCCTGATTTGTCCATGCTATTTAGTCCTGCTAGATTATCTGGTCTTCGCGGGCATTGTATGAAGCTGGACAAACCGCGGTCCGATCGAGTTAGAGCGGAGACACGGTTATCACGTCGAGTCATCGAGCGCTGGAACCTGCTTCCAGAAAATGTTGTCAAGGAAGCTACGGTTAAGGGGTTTGAGCGTCAACTAGACGCTCTTGGGTGGCAACACGAAACCTTTCCTTTTTCCTGACTAATTCTTGTCTTCATACTTCGATTCTATTTTTTTCCTCTCCATTTGTATTATTCGCTTCTTTTAACTGATTTTCCCTACTCTCATACCTTCGCTTTTTCTTCCTCTCTTACTTACTTCACGTAACTGACATAGCTGGGACGGCTAATGTAAGGAACGTAGGCATTAAATTGGTGGACCATGGTGTTTTTTCGGGTGTTTTCCTTTTAGACGTCGGTTGGTGCATCCCGACTGCCTGGCTGGGGTCCTAAGGACGGTGAACACGTTTGGTTGGACACACTTGCTGATATGGCTTGGAGTCGGCCCCATTGGCGTCTGTGTTGTGAGTTCCTTTGTCCATCCCCCTCCAATCACGATCTCACTTGTTAGGCATAATATGACTCTCTTTTACGACAGCCAGCTGTTAGCTCTCCTGAACGATGTCCATCCGTTACTGGGGACTCAGCGGGCGTGCCACTGTTTTTTTTTCTTGTCTTTTGTATTGTGGCACAATAGCTGAGGTGTTTTCCACCTCCAGCTAACGTGTAATGATGATGATGATGATGAAGATGTCGGAGCACCCCTATCCTCTCTTGGATCGACGACCCGCTCAAGAAGGAACACTTACGAGATTCATCCTATCGTTCCAGTCCCACTTGAACTTGAACTTGTACCATGCAACCCTCACCAGTTTATTGGTCTAACTGGTTGGTCAGAATCCCGGTCTGTACTGTCTTTCTGAGCTTTTACTTTCAAAGGAGAGTTTCGGAACCGTGTTTGCAAGTGTCGTGCAAAAAATTTGACTTTTGCCAAATTTCGCTTAATCCAACTAATTTTGGATCATCGTTTTCCCCGGATTTCGTCGTTCCCGTTTTCGGGTACTTACCAAACGTCATCCATCTTTTTCGGGGTTAGCCCCTAGTTCTTTTCCAGATATTTTTGTTTCGTAATCCGTTTTACGCCTTGTTTTAACCCGTAACTATTTGTGTTGACTGCCCTTCAGATAGCAGCTTGTCAGTTTTACGTTTACGTTCAACTTCAACCGTTTCGTTCCCATCTTGAGGATCCATTCTGCATTTACTGCTTAACGGAATGCTTTGATTGTTGTAAGGCTGTCACTTCTCGCTCGAAGGCCGTTCAATGTTCCTTCTGCGAAGGGTGGTTTCACATTGCATGTTATAACATCGGTCCAGATCTATACGATCCACTGCAAAGGATCATTTCCTCAGTCGTCATCTTTATTTGTGACCCTTGTCGGACTCGGCTGTGTCAGGCGTGTTTCGGAAGGTCTACCTCCAATCCGTCCATGTCCTTCCTGCCTCCATTCTGTGCAAAAGAAAAAGGATGAACCGCTGTTCCCTATTTTGCCTTCATCTGCTGCTGGCCCGGACACACCCCTTCATCCCCAGAACCATCGTCCATTGTCCGGCATTGCAAAGAACGCAAGGAAAGGACTTATGCAGTGGTAGCGGGTAGCAGCGTAACTCCGGTACCCATGATCCCAGAGGCTCCACTAAATAATCGAAGACGAAGAAGGCTGCAAAATCTAGGTCTACTTCGAACTCTTCTCAGCCACAATTAAAACATATTATCTATAAAGTGCATCAATTGGAGAATATGATCAAGGCAAAGCCTTACCTGTAAAAGCCGCATCAAAATGAAAAATGCCGATTTCCCGAGAGGGAACGATGTCTGATCATCATAAACGCCCCTGAGTCTATTAAGGAATCCTCGGCTGAAAGGATATTGGAGGACCAAACGTTTCTGAGGCGGATGGTTTCGTTACTGTTCGATGCTGGCGAAAAGGGCATAAACTTCGTTTCCGCTTTTCGCCTCGGCAGGAAGCAGGATGACTCCTCGAAAGTTCGCCCCCTAAAGGTGGTCTGTCAGGATGAAGAGGAATGCCGCCGTATCCTCCAGCGAACCTCACGTTTGAAAGGAGAAACGTTTTATGTTTTGAGAGACCTCTCCCCAGAAGATCGAGTTAAAATGAAGCAGGCCGTTGATGAACTACGAATCCGACGAGCAGCTGGTGAAAGCGACCTTCACATTGTGGATTTTCGAGTAGTAAAAAGAATCCCGAGGACTCGGTGGAGACCAATTTTCGTTCTCCCGGTGCACTGAGAATCAGGAGTGGATTGCGTGTGATATCGGCGAACGTGCGTAGTTTGAGAAACAAATTGGATGAGATACTGCTCATGACTTCGGAGCAAGAACCCGATCTGATGGCTTTTACGGAGACTTGGCTATCCTCGGATATTTCGGACTCGGAGGTGTTTATTCCAGGGTATCAACTATCCCGTGCGGATCGTCTAGGAGGGAGATCCGGGGGCGGTGTTGCACTTTACTGGAAGTCAGACCTTAAAGTTCACACAGTGGAAGCCATGTGTGATCTCGATGGAGGATCGGAAATCCTTTGGAGTAGGGTTCACGATGGGTTCCGACCGCTCATAGTGGGCGTTATCTACAGATCCCCCTTGGGGTCAGGATCCCACCTGATAGACTCTATGAGGATGCACGGGGGAGGCAAAGATTGTTTGATTGTGGGTGACTTCAATGCTCCGGCCGTAGACTGGGATGCACTTCATTGTAATTTATCTCCAGATTCTTTTGATACACGTTTATTAGAAATAGTCCTCGAATGCAATCTAACGCAACACGTTTTATCCCCTACCCGTTTTTTTCCAGGCCATGTGCCACACATCCTTGACCTTGTGCTCACACCTAGCTCATCAGATGTTTCCGCTCTAGCCATTCTTCAGCCTCTTGGCAAAAGTGATCACTGTGTAGTCTCCTTTTTGTGGACACGACAGTTAGCTATCAATGTCCAAGGAGCGCACCGCCGAAACTTCTGGCGAGCTGACCCCCTCCGCTTAAAATTGGCTGCCAGCCTCATGGACTGGAACATCCCTCATCAGTTGGATCTCGATGCTGCTTGGGACCTTTTGTGCTCCAAGATGATGTTTATCATTGATCGGGTTGTTCCAAGGGTCACAAAACAATTTTTCTCCAAAGGACCCCCATGGATAGATCGGGAAATGAAATCGCTCATGATGAGAAGGCGGAAACTTTGGGGCCGGTTCAAGTTCTCTCAGACGGCACAAGATTACGCGCATTACAAAGAGGCTAGAAATTTATGTACCCTGAGAAAGCGCGAGAAGCGAGAATTATATGAGCAGCATCTGGCCGAGCAATCTGTGGTTAATCCGAAAAAGCTTTTCGCATACTTAAAAAGAAGCACCAAAGCTGGCAACGGTATACCCGCACTGTATTCAAGCAAAGAGGACACCATGCTTCATGATGACATGGCGAAAGCTTGTCTACTAGCTTCGCAATACTCTTCTGTGTATACGACGGAGGCGCCATTAGCTGTTGAGGACACTTCCTATCACCCCTCTCCATTAGAGCATGTTGAAATTACCGCTGATAGAGTATTGGAACTGCTTCTTGACTTGAACTCGAATTCTTCACCGGGTCCCGATGGCTTGCATCCCGTGTTCCTCAAAGAGGTGGCGGAGTTCATTGCTGCACCAATTTGTCAAGTATTTCGTAGCTCACTTGAAGCAGGTCGTCTCCCAACTAAATGGAAAGCAAATGTCGTGAAACCCATGTACAAAGGTGGGAATCGCCAAGATCCAGTGAACTACCGACCGATTTGCCTGTCATCAATCCTCTGTAAAACCATGGAAAGGATTTTGAAACAGGCCTTGCATCTTCACCTTGAGAAATTGGACGTCATCTCTCCTGCTCAGCACGGATTTCGGAAGGCACGCTCTTGCATTACCAATCTGCTTGTTGCCCGAGAAAAATGGGCGCAGTCAGTGGATGCTGGTCATCGACTTGATGTAGTTTTTGTGGATTTTAGCAAGGCGTTTGATAGGGTTCCACACAAGCGACTTCTTATCAAACTTCGGCAGATTGGCATCGCTGGTAAATTGCTCGCCTGGATCGCGGATTTCCTAGATAACCGTAGTATGAAGGTGAGAGTTAACGAAGTCGACTCTGTTCCTGTTCTTATGACCAGTGGGGTTCCACAAGGCTCCGTACTTGGTCCCGAACTATTCAAAATCTTCATCAACGATCTCCCGGAGGTGCTCCAAATAGACTGCTTGATCTATGCTGATGATCTTAAACTTTGGTCGGAAGTATCCAGGCTTGAAGATGCTGACAGGTTGCAGCTGACGCTCGATCTGCTGCACGATTGGTCGGTCAAGTGGCAAATGCCTATCAATCGTGATAAGTGCTGTGTTCTCCCGATCGGTGATCAGGAACCTTTCGGTGCTTACCACATCGGTGGTTTTCTGTTGAAGAATGTGGTTGGTGAGAAGGACTTGGGTGTACTTATTTCTCCAGACCTAAGAACAACCCAGGACACGTTGCGGAAGGTAGCATCTGCCACCAGGATGCTCTGTGCCATACGAAGGTCGTTTTACAAATTGACTCCGCAGAACTTCAGGCTCCTGTTTTCCTCCCACGTTCGTCCAATACTGGAATACGGCCTACCTGCCATACACCCACTCACGAAATTTGAATGTGAGTTGATTGAGAAGGTCCAGAGGCGCGGATCCAAGTCTGTGTCTATGCTACGTGTTTTACCTTATCCCCTTCGTCTCCAATGCATGAACTTATTTACTCTGGACTACCGCCGTCGCCGTGGTGATTTGATTTATACTAGACGCATTTTAAGGGGCGATTTGGGGAAGGAGTTGCTGCAGTTTTTCCAGCTCAACACAGATTGTTCAACACGGGGCCACAGCTTGAAACTTTTCAAACCTCGGCGGAACCATATCCGGTCCGATATCGCGTTATCCACACGGGTTGTGAATGAGTGGAACAATCTTCCTGAATGTGTGGTAAGTGCCCAGACAGAGGAATGTTTTAAAGAACGATTGGACAAGTACATGCTGAGCATGCCTGGATTCCGCTGTTTTTGCTGCAGCTGCAACAATCCCTCGGGGAACACAGTTTAGCATCGACAGGTCATCCAGCCAATGAACGGGAGGTGATGGAGCTGACACGGGTCTTCCCTTCTGCTCTCTACAACTCTATGAACTCTATGACTGGAACGATAGGATGATCCTGTGAGTGTTCCTTCTTCGGCGGGTCGTTGAACCAGGAGTTGGTGAACTTTAAATACTGATGGACCTGAAGATCGCATCACACCCTGTCCAACCAATTAATGCCCACGTATCCTGCCCTAGCAGTCCCTGCTGGGCCGGTTACGTGAAGTAAGAAAGAGAAAGAAGTAAACTCAGAAGGCAAAAGTGAAAGTTGAAAGAGCTAAGCAAGTGGAATACCAAGATATTTGAGTCATTAAAATAGGAACTGAAAGGTGAAGTTTTGATGCTTGTTTCACACTCTTTGAAAACGTCATGTCGGATTCACAGAATACCAGTGCTGATGTGTCTTCGGCTGCGTTGATCAGCGAATTTAATGCTGTATGCGGCAGCGTGACTGACGAGTCTGGTGGCATGCGGTGCTATGTATGCAACTTCTGATGCCATGATCAGTACGCAATGCTCTCGACTAGCAATAGCATGCTGTTCAATTGTATTCTATGCCGTCGATCTACGCGTCTTGAGGTCACTGAAGAGACATCGAGCAACCTGGGGCTGGGTCATCATCATCACCACTATACACTTCAGCTAGAGGTTGGAAACACCTCAGCTACTGTGCCGCAATACATAAAGGAAAAGGAACATAAATACAACAGTTGCATGCCAGCTGAACTACCATCAACGGATGGACATCGTTCCGGTAAGCTACCAGCCGGCTGTTAGGCAAAAAGAAAAATTATTATGTTTTACGCTACGAAATGAGATCGTAGATAGAGGGGGAGGCTACAAAGGATGGGGAGGGACAAAGAAACACAGCAGGAACGCCACTGAGGTCGGCTCCTTGCCATGTCAGCAACTGTATCCAGCCGAACGTGTTCATCGTCTTTTGGACCCCAACCAGGGAGCCGTTACGCTCCAACCGAGGCCAGCTCAGAAGTGAGGGCCTTCATTCCTCTGGACCAAGTCATCGCTTAGCCACCTCTCCTCTTCTTCCATCCAGATCCCCGGCGAGCAAACAACCCACGTCGTGGAAGTCGGTGGTCTGGCATGCGCAACACGTGGCCCAGCCATCGGAGCCTGGTGCGTGAAATGACGATGCTGAGCGGTTCAGTTCCTTTTTCTGTGCCGTAAACAAGGCGTCGAACACGCTCGTTACTCACGCGGTGTTCCCACCAAATGTGAGCCAAACTGCGAAGGCACCGATGGTCGAACGTAACTAGTCTCTTCATGTCCGCATATCTTAGGGGCCAGATTTCGCAACCGTACAGTAAGGTCGAACGTACCGCTGCATTGTACGTTCCACCCTTCAGGGCAAGAGTGATGTCGCGCCGCCGCCATAGGTAGCGAAGATTAGCAAAAGCACTTCGAGCTTTTGCTATATGGTTCGTGATCTCGTCTTCGATCCCAAGGGAGCTGAACGACTTCTAGCTGATCCCCACCAAGGGTCAGCGCAGGAGGCGATCCCTGACAATCTTGGAGGAACGCTTTACATTTCGATGATGCAAAGCAAAGCCCGAAGCGGCTGACAGCCAGTGCTAATCTGTCCAGCGCGGCTTGGCACGTCTGGGAGCTGTCACAGATGTGCGCAATGTCGTCTGCCTACTCTAAGTCAAGAAGTCGTTCTCATGGGAGTAGCTCCACATCTTCCAAGTCATGTTCTGAAATGCCATCTCCATGACTTCTTCAATGGCGAAGTTGAAGAGGAAAGGTGACAGCGGGCATCCTTGTCTCACACTGCTGGAGATATTGAAGGGCGACGACAGCTTGCCGTAAGCTCTCACTCTACCCCTGCTACGCGCGTATAATGCTCGGACAATCTTTACCTATTTCTCTGGCACACTTTTCCTGATTAGACAGTTCTAAAGGACACATCGATCAACCGAATCGAAGGCACCTTTGATGTCGAGGAACACGACTACGGCGGGCCGCCAATATGTGTGACGGTGCTCCAACAACTGACGCAAGCTGAAGATATGGTCGATACAGCCACGAAACCCGGGCTGGGTAACCAGGAGTTGTGGTCTTTCCTCACATCTCTTGATCACAAATTGCAGTTACTGATGAGGAAAATGGGAGTCTATTGATGTGGCTCATTTTAGGATGACACGCAACTAACCTCAATTGCTGTCCATGAAAATCCGACTGAGGTGATGGCTACCATGTCGTGTGCCCCAGCGGTCCAAAATGCCTCTAAAGTGGCCTCTGATGTCGTACTGGAAGCCCCTCAAAGCCAGACCGAACTTATGGCCCTTGTGCCCAATAAAAGCAAGAGGAAGAGGGCTAAGAGAGTCCGTAAGGCTCCTTCAAAGTCTGAAGGTACTGAAACCATTAAGGTATTGGAGGTGGACCATGGACTTTGACGTTTTGTGTTG